GTGTGTGTGTGTGTGTGTGTGTATGTGTGTTTGTGAGTGTAAGTGTGTGGGTGTGTGTGTGTGTGTGAGTGTGTGTGTGAGTGTGTGTGCGTGTGCGTGCGTTTTGTGTAACTGTTTTCTCATGTTTTCATGTACATATGCTACATTGTGTTCATATGAATGGAAGTGAATGGAAGATCAAGTCTAGTTTGATCACACCTAATAATGATGGTGTTTTTTTGTCATATTGTCATTTTGCAAAAGCAAACAGCAATTAACGGCCGTGATTTTACGCAGTTTAAGAGGATTTCCCTGCCGTATATTCACCATAACATGCCTCATTTCTTCATCAGCGGTTCTTTCAGAAGACTTCACATGCTGAAACATTCAGAGATTTCAAAGACGCTCAGGTCAGGAGTATTTCTCCAGCTTGTCTTATTTAAGCAGTTCTCTGTCTAATTCAAAGAACGGATGGAAAAAAGCCTCCATGACAGAGTTGATTACATCTGAGCAGCTCCTGGTAGCAGAAGCAGGACTCGGGCTCCCCTCGGAGGGAAGACGACCTTTGACCCGCGCTGAAGAGCGTCCAGATCCGTGATTACAACTCGATACGCACCATTGTTTCCTAACATCTCTACTTCCATTTGGACGTAACGCACCTGAATATCATAACCCAGAAATCACGCAATACGCTGCAAGAAAATCATGTTCTTCCACAGCAATATTTTATCTTGTTTCCAGTACAAATATTTATACATTCTTAAATCAAGATACGATAACTTACGATAAGTCTTATTAAGTTAAGTTTTCTTAAAAAATATCAAATATAAGTGAGCTTAAAACAAGAAACAATATCTGCCAAACCTTTGATTTAGGTTTAATTTTTTTTACACCATTTGTCTGGTTTTAAGCAAATCTCACTTAATCTTGATATGAACACAAGAAAACAAGTGATAAATGTATCTTGTTTTTAAGAATGTTCAGATATTTGAACTGAAAAACAATACAAAAATTCAGTTTAAAAATCATTTTTTGCTGTGTACATTAGATATTCTATCTTTTTAAAGCATTTGCATGGTTTGTTATGAAATTGTAATTATTTAACCACGAAGTAATATTCAGTCATCATTTACTCACCATAGCGTTGCTCCAAAACGGCAAGACTTTCTTTCTTCTGTGGAAGACAAGAGATGTTTAGTAGAACGTTTGAGCAGCTTTTGTATTTAAATACATTTTAAAATGATGTGACGTCATTGATGCCAAACACATGATTGATAATGATGTTGAAATTCTGAATATGAGACAGCAACAGAAATGTAAGAATTACTGCTGAGGGGAAGATTATCAATGAATCATGTCTTAAATCAAGATTAATTTCCTTGAGAAGCAAAATAAATTAAGATAATGTCTTGTTTTCTGAAAAACGTATCAAAATAAAGTGTTTACTCCAAGTAAATAGGCTAAAAAAATTAACAGATATTACCATACTTCCTCAGTTGATTGATTAAATTAAGAATTGCAAAAAATTTTTGTATTACAAGTTTTCTGAAATATTGTATTTAAATATGCAAATGATGTACCATGTAATTGCACTAATTTGCATACATTTCCAGAAGATAAATCTGAACATTGGATCAAGCCAGGTTCAAAATGCTTGTTTGAGTTTGTAGAAATATTAGCGTTAAAGGTTTTTCCAGAGGGGATTTTTTAAATTTTTTGTATTACTCCATAAATCAGAAAATACTGTCAACAGCCAGAAAACAGACACATTTTCACCATGTTTTAAGCAATAAAATGTTCCTCAGGTGAATGATATATGAACAAACTCCTCTATAAACACTTTCAGAATGTAGATAGGAATAAAACTGTAATGTTTACTGTATGTGCTGCTGAACTGGAGAAAAAAATAGATGAAGTGCAATGAAATAAACACATAAATGTGTAGTTTGCATGTTTTCTTTCCACTAGTTTAAAACAAGACTTTATGAAAAGCCAAATAGCCTCAAAATCCCAAAATTGGCAGATGCATGAAAAAAAAACAGTAAAATATTAAACTTCCAGAAAACAAGACTTAATATCTTCTGTCATTCTGCATTTCAAGCATTTTGCATTTTAAATGCATCTTAATTTAAGGATCTTTAAATATTTGTACTGGAAAACAAGACAAAAATACTGAGGAAGAACATCATTTTTGCAGTCTGTCTGTTTCTCACACAAAGCATCATATGACTTCAGAAGACTTCAAAACAGTGCATTATGATACTTTATGATGTTTTTTTTGCCATTTCTGGAGCCTGAGCCCTCACTTTTATTGTATGGACAGCAGAAACTTGGATATTCTGCTTTTTTATTGCACCAAAGACAATAATACAAGACAAATAAGACAAGCAAATAATACTTGAAACAACATGAAGGTAAATAAATCATGAATAATTTAGAAACTTTTCTTTAAAAATATGACCCTTATTAACATTCTCGCTGAAGTAACACAGTATTTGTTTATTTCCCCTTAAAAGCAGAGTCTAGGGCAGATGACCTCTAATAAGCGTGAAAAGTTTACATACCTGCAGTATTTCTAAATAAATACGGGAGGATGTTTTTCCTCGGCAGGAGAGATTCAGATAATGGCGTCTCTGGGGACGCTCTTCAAACACAAGCAGGCCTTCTTGACCTCTGACCTTTGCCCTGGAGGGTTCATCAAATCTAAGCTGTTTTGATTTGCCACACATGACCCCAAAGAGCCAAAGTCACCATCTACAAGAGCCTTTCTAGGAATTTCTAAGGTGACAGAGTAAAAAAACACGTCACACAGAAAGAACAAAGTGCTAATTAAAGCAATAAGCCACTTGAGGCTGTGATTTATCCACATGTTATGGGTGTGAAACCATCTTAACCGCGGTAAAATCACTGTAACTGAAGGCCTTAAGTTGCTTATTGCTTTTAAAACAGTAAAAAAAGTTTAAAACAGTATAGAACACCAATGTTCAATACAATTACATTTAGGTTATGGAAGCTTGTTTCTGTCATAAAAAACATAAGATAATTGCGACTTTTTATCTCACAATTCAGACTTTTTTTTAAGTTTACTTCTCACAATTCTTTTTTTTTTCTGCCACAGAATAAAACAATAAAAAAGGTAATTGTGACGTTTTAACTCACAATTCTGACGTTTCTTGTAATTGTGAGTTTATATCTCACAATTCCGACATTTTTTCTCACAATTGTTTTGTTTCTCACACAGGTTACATCTCGCAATTTTGTCTTTTTGTCCCCTTCCTCAGAAGTCTGAGTTTAAATCTTGACATTGCTTTTTGTTGTTGTTGTTTCTGCCACAGAATAAAACAATAAAAAAAGGTAATTGTGACTTTTTATCTTACAATTCTGACTTTTCTTCTCGGAATTGAGAGTTTATTTTGCAGTTGTTATCATAATTCAGAAATTGCGACAAAAAAAAATGTTATAAACTCAGAATTGTGAGGAATTCAGTGAGAATTGAGAATGAGAATACCTTTTTATTTTATTTAAATTTGTTTTAATTACGTGGCGGAAATAAGCCAGATATTTACTTAAAATTGCAAGATATAAACTTTCATTTCCAAAAATTAAATTCAGAATTGTGAAATAAAATGTTGCAATTACCTTTTTTATTGTAAAAAAAAAATAAAAAATTGCCAGACGTAAATTCAGAATTCTGAGAAAAAAATTGAGAATTGTGAGATAAAAACTCAATGACTTTTTTTTATTATTATTTGTGGCGGAAACAAGCTTTCATATTTAGTCATTTTTAATAATAATAATAATAATAATAATAATAATAAAAGCAATTCTGAGAAAAAAATGGCCAGATATTTAGTCACTATTGCGAGGTATAAACTCAAATTTCTAAGAAGAGTCATATAATTGTGAGATAAAAAGTCGCAGTTACCTTTTTTATTGTTTTATTCTGTGGCAGAAAAAAAAAAAAAAAGGTTTATGAGATGTAAACTCAAAATTCTGAGGGGGAAAAAAAGTCAGAAATGTGAGATTAACGACCTTATTTTTTACTCCGTGGCAGAAATAATCTTCCATATTTAGTCATATTAATAATAATAATAAGAAAATGTCTAAACACTGGATATCTGACAGCTACAGGTCACTACACTAAACCATCACAGAATATGATGAAATATGTCAGTTAGCAGATTAAAAAATAAAATTAAAAAATGAACGGCTTTAAATGCATTTCTGAAATATCTGTGGTTTTTCTGCTGTGAGTCCTGGTTAATCTCTGAGCGACTCTCACTGTCAGCGAGTGTGATTTGTTTCACAAACCCTTCACGCTTTGACTAACAGCTCAGTGGAGTCTGTCTCCGGCTTTCGTGTTGCCAGGAAGGTATTTTTCACGAGTAAATAATTACGGATCGTTCATAACTTGATGGGGACACATCAGGGAGAAGTGGCAGTGACGATGTGCAGTGTTTCTGCTCGCGGATGACATTATGAGTGATGCTGCTAAAGTCATTAAAAGAATTTCATCATTTACTCAGAGAGCGTATATCTTTCGTAGTTCTCAAATTATACTTAAGAGAATATCGGCTTTCTGGCTGAGGCCTTAAACACACACATACAGCGCTGAGAGAAACTCTGTCATTAGTCAGTGTGTGTGTGTGGCTTTACTGAAACACCTGCAGTCCCACCGCAGTTTGAGATGAATGCACAATATATCACCTCCACAATGAACAGGAAAAACTGAGTAATTCATGTTGGGATGATAATTCTTTTCATATGTTTTCATAGAGTCAGTTGCTGATATTCTTATTTATTTTCACACAGCTGATTCACCTGTTTGTTTTAAGGTAATATATATATACAGGCAAAATATATATTTTTTTCGTTCTTTTTTTTTTCTCGCCATGCACTGGCCAAGTTTGAGATTTTGGGCTATTTGGCTTTTCGTAACATGTTGTTTCAGACTAGCGGAAAGAAAATATCTAAAATGCATTAAGTGTTTATTTATACGTTTGTAGATTTTAATTACAGTACGTAATTGAAATATATTTAAAGGCTGTTTTTTCAAAATGAGTTTTTTTTCTCCACTTTGGTAAAACTTGCAAACACCAAACTTTACAGTTTTATTCCTCTCTATAATCTGAAGGTTTTTACTGAGGGGTTTGTTCATATATCATTCAACTGGTTTTATACAACATTTCATTCCTAAAAAAAATATGGTGATTTTGTTTTTCATTTTCTGGTTTATGGTGTGATATTTTGCTTCCATAATTTTCTTGCTTCCAAAAAGTCTTCTTTCAGACTAGCGGAGAGAAAACATCCAAATCCATTTTTCCAGTAAAAAAAATCCTGTGCATTTTATTGCACTTTATCTATTTGCATTTGTAGATTTCAATTGCAATCCATATCTTTTAAGGCCGTTTCCTCATAATTAGTTTTTTTTCTCCACTTCAGCATCACTTACATATACCAAGATTTACAGTTTTGTTCTAGTCCATGATCTGAAGATTTTTACTGAGGGGTTTGTTCATATTTCATTCGCTGGGTTTTATTGTTGCACTTTATTTGCGTCTGTAAATTTCAATTACAATGCATACTTTTAAAGTTTGTTTGTCCACTTCAGCAGAACTTAGATACACCAGATTTTACAGCTTTATTCCTCTCTGTATTCTGAAGGTTTTTACTGAGGGTTTTGTTCATATTTCATTCACACTGATTTATATAAGATTTTACTCCTAAAAACATGGTGAAAATGTGTTTTTCTGTGGCTGTTGACAATATTTTCTGATTTATGGAGTGATAATAAGAGAAATCCAAAATCCCCTCGGTAAAAACCTTTAACTCTAATATGTCAACAAAATCAAATAAGAATTTTGAACCTGGCTTTATCCAATGTTCAGATTTATCTTCTGAAAATGTATGCAAATTAGTGTTAGGTGATGCATAATTTGCATATTTAAACAGAAAACTTAAAAAAGACTGCAATTTTTAATGTAATAAATCATCTGGGAATGTATTATGATATCTAATAAATTTTTTACCCTATTCATTTGTAGTGTCTTGTTTTAATTCGCGTTGGTGTATCTACCTACACATGGGTGCTTGAGCTCAAAAACGCAGTGGGTTTCTTGCATGGCACATGTGTTCTCTGTTCTTCATTACATGTAGACGAAACATCCTAGTGGCCTGGCAGAATCAGTCTTTCATGTGTGTTAGTGAAGTTTCCCTCTGCAGAGTCTAACCAGAAACACCCCAGAGCCCTGAGCAAGGTCACGGGGTCTCCTGCCAGCCTGCAATATCTAATAAAAGAGAAAAGGGACAAAATGGAAAATGGTAGGATTTGGCAACACACTTCTACACATAAAGGGTGTTTTCACAACGATGCCACAGAAGAGCCATTTTTGGTTTCCAAAAGAACCTTTCAGTGAACAGTTTTTGAAAAAAAAAAAACATTTTTTAATTAGTGTGAAGAACATTTTAATAGTCTGAAGAAACTGTTTTCCAATATAAAGAACCTTTTGTCCAATGGAATGTTTTGATGGATGATAAGATAATCGTTCCACCTTAAGAACGTCAACAGATCATTTACTATTTGACTTCGAAGAAGCGCCAATATAGAAAATTTAAACATTTAAAGTTGGTTTAGATGGTTTAAAATTATTAAAAAGGGATGCAGAAGTACTGGAATGATTGGATCATAAACAAAACAAGACAAAAAAAACTAAATTCTAAATTCAAAACACTAAATATTTAAATATTCACAAATAAATAAAGCAGAACAAAACATGCAACAAAACCAACAAATACAAGTCCCAAAAGAGTGTTTTGTCACAACGATGCCACAGAAGAGCCATTTTTGGTTCTTCAAAGCACATTTCAATTAACAGTTCTTAAAAAGAACCATTATTTTCTTAATACGAAGAACAATTTTTCCACTATAAAGAAGAAACCTTTTGTGCAATGGAAAAATTCCATGGATGTAAAATTGAATGCCAGTGAAAAAACTTTATTTTTAAGATTGTAGGCACATCAACAGTCGTTGGAGTCATATTGGAACGATGGGATCGAAAACAAAAGACAAAAATACAAATGAGCCAAAGTGAAAATTAAAGTTGTGAATATTGGTTTGAAAATATCAGAAAGGGACACTGTGGGATGCAGAAGTATTGGAATGATAGAATAAAAAACAAAACAACATGAAAATACAAACAAAACAAAACAAAAACAGTACAAATTCAAAACAAAACAATATTTAAATGCTCAGAAATAAATCAAATAGAACAAAACATCAAACAAAACCACCATCAAAACACTACAAATGTAAATAAAGCAAAAAAAACCCAAACTAAAACAAAAATTAATACTCTTTATGTCAGTAAGACTTAACCACCACAGCAAAGAATGTAAATCACGTGCGTCGAGATGAAAAGCACACAGTGAAGGTCGCATGAGAGCTGCAGCGAACAGAAAAGAGCAGCTGAGTACTGCGGTAATCTCCAGAACCGGTTCAGAGGAGAAAACGAGACACGTGAGACGCTGTCAGTCCTCAAACCCTCCTGCTAAACGACGACAAATACACAAGATCAAAACCCCAGAGGAATCTCAATCAGTGCATCAAAACATGCTTGCACGAAAACTCTTGATCATATGAAAACTTTATAATGCATTATCAGATTTTCTTTTTAGAGCATTTAAAAGTAGGATCCACAAAACACTGTTGATTGTCACTGTCCTTTGTTGCTTTTAAGACATTTTGAAGGCTTCAGACGAGCGGCATGACATTTGTAGGAAAGCAGGACTGAATAGAAGATTCTGGTTTTGACCCTGAGAGAAAGAAAGCAGAGCTGAGCTCAAGAGGATTAACTCACATAGACAGTCAGGAACTAATCGATTGTGACATAATAGACCTGTACATAAACATAGTGAAAGAACATCACTGATGGATGAAGAGAGCAGGGACAGAAGGTCACTGGATAATGGACTGAAATAACTGGACTTCAGCCTTGTTTCTGGTGTAAAAAGAGCTGCCAACATTTTCAGAAAGGAAAAACACAACACTGGCGTTCAGGACTCCCACAGCCTTCAGTGCTCAAATACTGTACAATTAGAGATGTGCACTTGCAAAACGCTGCCTCGTAAAGCTTTGAAACCTTTGCGAATTATTTTTCAAACTAGTGATGGGGGCTTTAGAAGCACTGCTTCGTGAAGCTTTTAATATATTATACTTTAAGTTAGTAAAAGCATTTTTATGCATGCTTTGGCCTGAGTTTTTGTTGCATTTACACAGTGTTCGACGTCACCAGCGTGTGGAGTTTTGTGCACTTCGAAAAAGTGAATCATTTTACGAAGCAGTTAGTATAAGACCCGCCCCCCTTCGTTACCATTGCTATGTCCGGCAAGCCATCTCACATAGTGAAAAATACATCGTGAACTGATCATCTCTTCCTCTTTACTAGTTATAGCACAAAATAAACATGAATGAACATCAGAAGTATGTTGTTTCAACTACGGAAAGAAGTCAATACACACCATTTTTCAAATGTAAGTACACCGACATAAATCTACTCTCCTGTCTGGTTTGTTGGACAACATGGCAGATTCAGCTATGATTGGTCAGATCGCCTGTCAATCAAACCCTGCGAAGGATCAATTGATTCAAAGCTTTGAAAAGGTTAGTTTCTCATCATGTCACTTTTCCGAACAAGCAATACGGAGTACATCAGACAAGATTTCAGGTTTATTTTTGTTATGTCATAACGGTTTTGAAATTACTGTTAAAGGGGTCATATGATGCTTTTTTTAAAGATCATTATTTGGTGTATTTGGTGTAACATAATATGTTGACATGCTTTAATGTTCAAAAAACACATTATTTTTCAAATACTGTACATTATTGTAGGTCCTCTATGCCCCGCCTCTCTCAAACACTTCGTTTTCTACAAAGTCCCTCCTTCCGACAAGCGCAGTCTGCTCTGATTGGCCAGCTGACCCAGTGCATTGTGATTGGCCGAACACCGCAAGCACTCGTCGGAAATGTAACGCCCCTTGCCATATTCGCGAGCTTCATCTTTCAAAATAAATGTAAAGACACAGCCCAAGAGGGGAACAGAGTCGCGTGACAGACACAATGATGAAGCTGGTATGTGTACACAAGCCACGGTTAAGACAGCTGACTCCACTGTGATGTGACCCTCTCTCTCGCTCTCTCTCTCACACACACGCGCGCACACACACACACACACACAATGCGCAAAACACTGCATTTGAACAGTCAATAGCAAATACTTAAACTAATAACAAAACAGTAGCTGATTCAGAAGCACCAGATTGTCATAGCAAAATCAGAATTACCTCCTCTCCTAGGTTCACGAAACGGTCGTCCATAAAATGCATTGCTCTTCTGTTGTAAGTAATCTTAAAGATTCCTAAATGCATCTACTTTCGGAAGGCCAAATAAAGTGCTTTTGCTTTCGCCTAGAAACACACAGCGTCTCCCTGACATGCTGCTTCAACACTAACTGCGGTTACTGAAACCACGCCTTCTTTCTTTGCATGCACATTTGGGCAGCATTATGCAAATATTTCCACATAGTGAGGTAGATATGTGGGGGCGTGTTAGAACGAGCCGTTTTAGGGGGGCGTGACAGAGTCTTAACTTTGATAAAGAATATCTCTTTGGTTTTGAGACTTTAGTCTTTGCAACTTCAGGGATCTTATCTATGCACAATCAGCTTGTAACACTCCAAAGAGAAAGGAAAACTTGAAATCGCATCATATGACCCCTTTAACATGTGTTAACCGTGTGATTTTTACCTTAGTTTTGTACATTTATAGACATTTATTGACACATTTGTATAATAAGGTTTGGGCTTATTAACACCAGTTATCACCAGCAAACAACGAACAGTTATCAACAGTGAATCATTATGCTAAGCATTTGGTTCAACCGATTCAAAGTTTCAAAAAGATTAGTTTCTCTTATAACTACTTGAATCTTGACAAGGAAGTAAATCAAACTTACCTGAATAATAACATCCAATGTAAAGACTCACTCAGAGTCATGGCGAAGGTCAAAAAAGGCAGCAGTTTCAACAGTCAAATCAGCGATTCTCAATCTTTTATTTATCAACCAAACCCCTTCGGCTATCAAGTTAATATTTAAAGAATTTCTTCACGTCCATCGTTTTCTAATGGGTTAACAGTCAAATTACATGCAAGTAAACAAGTATTTCATATATTTTTTAAATGATGTTGATTGCTTTTATAGTGTTCAACAGAACAATGTTCCTTCTCACAGATCTGAGGTTCATCACTGCAAATGTTTTCCATAAACACAGGACTACAGATGAAGGAGTAGAGGGTTTATTGTATTATTTAAAAGTATGTACAGGTTCTATCCAGGGAAATAACGGAGCATATGACTATATGTACAATTCACTTTTTTACATTATGTCTTTACAAGTTGTCTGCCTTGCTAATACATGGAAAAAATACACACACACACACATACGAATGAAGCGTTGCAATACACACATAAATAAATATCAACATCAACATTCACTGACTGCCACAACAATATCTCTACAGCCAAGAACATAAACAGTTTACATCATTTCATCAGAAAACACACGTATGTAATCATTAATAAACAAAACACTCTCTGTTAATCTTTAATGAAATATTGCTAACATATTAATAAGAGGCAACAATTGGATCGTTTATGCCCAATAAAAGGAACAGTTCAACCAAAAATGAAATTATTTAATCACACTCATGTTGTTTTGAGTTATGAGCTAAGCATTTCCCAAAAGCATCATAAGCCTTAGTAGATCGTCAAAAAACATTGGCACCAACGATCTCTGCAATCTAATTAGGCTTACGATGCTTTTGGGAAATGCTTTTCCATTCAACAAGAGCTCATCTCTTAGCTGCATTAAGATTCTTCAGAAATGAACAGCATATGATTTTGCAATGACATGAAAGCGAGCAAATAATGACTGAATAAGTGAAGGTTTGACATGCATCATCGGATCAGCCTTTGCTCTCAGTTAATGCTGAATGTTGTTTGATGTCAAACTGATAAACTGCAGTTTCTCCACAGCTGAATCACATATTCGTCCATTAAAATGTAACTCGATTTCATATACGGTGGAGGTCAGGTTGAGGTTCAGAATCTGCAAAATGTTAATTATTTTACCAAAATAAGATGGATCATACAAAATGCATGTTATTGTTTATTTATTACTGCCCTGAATAAGATATTTCACATAAAAGATGTTTACATACAGTCCACAAGAGAAAAAAATGCCCCATTCAAAAGTTTTTGATTCTTAATACTGTGTTGTCAGCTGAATGATCTTGTTAGTGCTAGTTATTCATGAGTCCCTTGTTTGTCCTGAACAGTTAAACTGCCTGCTGTTCTTCAGAAAAATCCGTCAGGTCCCACAAATTCTTTGGTTTTCCAGCATTTTTGTGTATCTGAACTCTTTCCAACAATGACTGTATGATTTTGAGAGGAAAAACCATGCATTAAGGGCCGGGTGGTGAAAACTTTTTGAATTTAAAGATCAAGATTCAACTATTATTTTCTCTTGTGGACTATATGTAAACATATTTTATGTGAAATATCTTATTCAGGTCAGTACTAAATAAACAATAACATGCATTTTGTATGATCCCTCTTATTTTGGTAAAATAATTAACATTTTGCCGATTCTGAAAGAGGGGTGTAAACTTTTGACCTCAACTGTAGTATGACGAAATTGCCAAGATTTACCTCACCCGTTGACTTTAACTTTCTGAAATGGTGTAAATTCACACATAAAACATTGCTGTTGCTCGAGAGTTCAGGGTTATTTCAAAATCAAAGTCATTGCAATGAAAACCGCAGAGCTTGAGAGAGAGAACGAGGGTGAGGCGTTCAGAGCAGATGCTGAATATCTGTGGTTTCGCGTCTGTCGAAAGCTGCGATTAGCTGCACGCTGTGTTGCGTCTTCTGACCGTTTCAGTGTTTCTCAGCTGAAGACTTCTGATGCGGCTGCTGATGATGATGAAGACGAGTTTCTGTAAAGAACAAAAACAAATGTAAACATCACTGTGAAGGATCTGTATGAAACGTGTTATTTTTAGAGAATTGTCATTGCACTGAATGGCTGAAAGTGACAATTACACTGAACTAAATTATAAACGAAACACTTTTGTTTTTGCCCCCATTTGTCATGAGCTGAACTCAAAGATCTAAGACTTTTTCTATGTACACAAAAGGCCTATTTCTCTCAAATATTGTTCACAAATCTGTCTAAATCTGTGTTAGTGAGCACTTCTCCTTTGCCGAGATAATCCATCCACCTCACAGGTGTGGCATATCCAGAGGCGGACAGTAACTAAGTACATTTAGTTAAGTATTGTACTTAAGTACACTTTTTGAGTAGCTGATTAGACAGCATGATTATTGCACAGGTGTGCCTTAGGCTGGCCACAATAAAAGGCCACTCTAAAATGTGCAAAAACAAAAGTGTTGCGTTTATAATTTTGTTCAGTGTATAATCTGAATTTTCTGGTCGGGATGCATCAGTTCACTTGGAAATGAAGTAATAATGCATTTCAATATTTGATTCTATGAACGTTTTGTTGCTTTTGAGTGAAGTTCTGTAAAGTTGGTATAAAATGTTTCAAAAGGGACACTGTCAAATGCAGAATGAAGGGAATAAAAACAAAAAGACGAAAATGCACATGAAACAAAACAAAAACAGCCTAACTTCAGAACACCAATTCATAAAATAGAACAAAACATGAAACAAAACATGAAACAAAACCAGCATCAAAACTCAAAATGTAAATAAAGCAACTTAAATGCAAACTTAAACAAAAAAAGTATTAATTATAATCTGATTTTCTGGTCAGGTCACCAGATCACCTGGAAAATAGGTCATTTTGCCAAGGTGCCGGACTGATACAATAATAATACATTTTAATATTAGATTTTGTTAACTTTTAGTTACTGAAGTGTTAAAATAAAGTGTCAATATAGAAATGAAAATGGGTGAAGTTGGTTTAGATGGTTTAAAATGTTTAAAAAGACACATTGTGAGATGCAGAAGTATTGGAATGATGGAATCAGAAACCAGATGAAAACACACACACACGCACACACACAAACAGTTCAAAATGCCAAATATTCAAAACACCATATATACTTAGAAATAAAATAGAACAAAACATGAAACAAAACCAAAAAAAAAAATCAAAATAAGTGTTTTCATAACGATGGCACAGAAGAACCATTTTTAATTCCACAAATCATAATTAAATAAACAGTTCCATTTATTTTCTTAGTGTGAAGGAAGTTTTAATGGTCAGAATGGGATTTAATGGTTCTTCATGGAACCAAACACCAATAAAGAAGCTTTATTTTTAAGAGTATAGGAACGTCAACGATTGGTCATTTACTGTTTGACTTCAAAATAGTGCAAAATGAATTTTCAAAGTTAAAGTTGGTTTAGATGAGACATGGTGGGATGCAGAAGTATTGGAATGATGGGATCAGAAATAGAACAAGGCAAAAATTCAAACAAATAAAACAACAGCAGCTTAACTTCAAAACACCAATTCATAAAATAGAACAAAACATAAAAAAAAAAACACCATTAAAACTCAAAACACAACAAATGTAAATAAAGCAACAAAAAAACAAAAACTAAAAATATTTTAATTATAACCCGATTTTCTGGTTAAGAATAACCAGTTCAACAGAAAAAAAAGGTGCCGGACTGATACAATAATAATTAATGCTGGGTTAATTACTTACAAATTGTAGTCTGTAACTGATTACAAATTACATGATGAAAATTGTAGTCAGTAATATAATTTAGATTACTTATTAATGGTAATGTATTCTGACTACTTTTAGATTACTTATGACCAAAATGTTTACTTTTGAAATATTTTGTTTACCTCAATCCAAATAACCGACATCAGAAAACTGAACAAACAAATGTGTCATTAAACGACTGAAATATTAACGTTAAATCACAGGGGCACTTCAAGTAAATATTTTAGGTCAAAGGGTTTGAAGGAGTTCAATATATATCGAATAATATGCAATCATGTAATCCATAAAAAAGTAACTGTAATCTGATAATGAGCATTTTAAAACGTAATATAATCTAATTACAAGTACTACATTTTTTGAATCTGATTACGTAATCCAGATTACATGTAATCAGTTACTACCCAGCACTGATAATAATCTATTACAATATTTGATTTGATTGTTTTTGTTACTTTTGAACAGTGTTGGGGAAAGTTACTTTTAAAAGTAATGCATTACAATATTGCGTTACTCCCTAAAAAAGTAACTAATTACATTACTTAGTTACTTTTTATGGAAAGTAATGCGTTACGTTACAAATAACCGACATCAGAAAACTGAACAAACAAATGTGTCATTAAACGACTGAAATATTAACGTTAAATCACAGGGGCACTTCAAGTAAATATTTTAGGTCAAAGGGTTTGAAGGAGTTCAATATATATCGAATAATATGCAATCATGTAATCCATAAAAAAGTAACTGTAATCTGATAATGAGCATTTTAAAACGTAATATAATCTAATTACAAGTACTACATTTTTTGAATCTGATTACGTAATCCAGATTACATGTAATCAGTTACTACCCAGCACT